AATTCAATGTGATGTATTTATACAAGAGGCAAAATGAGAACAYATGTGCTACATTAGGGTAAGAATAAATGTCAGAATTTATTAGGCTTAAACTGTCATTCATTTTACATAAGAACCAGTTCAGGCTGACTCAGAAAAATCAAGTTTRATTTTCCAATTAGTTACTTACCTAGAATAGCTGCGATAGGGCTCATATCAAACCTATGGTGAAATTCTTGAGATGTTATATAATGGCATATTTCAAGTGGCTACTCATATTTTGACAGAACCAAAAATGAATCCTCAATATTTATATTTTGGTAATGAAGTCTTACATGTTTTCTTCTTCTCCTGGGTGCCTGTACCAACACTCTGCACCAAAATGACATCTGTCTTCCATGAAGTATCTACAAATCTACATTGACATTGTTTGTTCAGAATGTCTATATTGCTTTTCAATTCTCTTCTTTAGCATAGCACTAATCAAGGCAGGTTGCAAACACAATAAAATCAATGGCATTTGACTCAACTATAATCTATAAATTATAAGACATCATAACTTGTTATCCTTCTTATAAGCAAAGTCTTCCTCTACTAACTTTGTCCCAATACAGTAGTAAATAATTGTGATCTATCTTGACACAAGACTATTTTTTTTAATCTGATCACTGATCCCATATACTGAAATACTGAACCTGAGAACTTGCTTGATGTTTGATTTGAAAGAAATTTACATTCTGTACTCACTGGAATGTCGTCAGGATCATGAGAAAATTTACAGTCATTACCAGAACGGCATTCGCCTCGTGCAAAATACCTAAGGCCATGAWACAAATACCAATCAAAATGCAAACTGAAAAAGCTTAGATTTAACTGAGATGGACCATAAACGTACCTACAATATCCATTTCGCTTCCTGTCAAGAACAAGAAATGTGTGTTTAGTAAGTTTRCGACAGCAATCAAGAGGCGTACGAGTAAATGTGTCGACTAAACGWTTTTTGCCTCGATCTTCATACAATAAAATTGATTCCTATTTAATCAAAAGCTAGAATGATCTTTGAAAGTATTCGAGGTGTAGAATTAGACGAATTACGCTTTAAAATTCTGAACTATTTCGATTTTAAAACAGATTTCAAATCGAAACGAACACAGAATGAAAAATGTTTAAATTGTGGTCCATATTCAAATATAAGTAAGCATTTCAATAACTAGAATGTGTTTCCTCAACTCTAGTCTACGTAAATGTACAAAATACGCTAAATAAAGTACCTTTCATGGTCGGGGAAAGCATTTATCATCATCGCCATGTTCATAACCGCTCTGCCGTCCGTTGAAAACTCCCGCGCTAAGAATATTCCCGCGAAATAATGCCCTTATATAGTAATCACATACCACGTGATCAGCTTTTATACTCCCGCAATTACTATATACAGCGGATATCCATTTTTAAATAAATTCCAAGATGGCGGCCAAGTGTATCTCAAGGAAAGTTCTTTGCAATCTTTCTTACGCTAGAAAACTTGCAATTTTGAAAAATGCAAAGACAATTTCCACGCAAAATGAGGGCAATAAATCAGATCTGCTCGACAAGGTGTCGTTTCTGACTAATGACTGTACGATAGAGGAGTTGGAAGTCGTCCAAGACATGGTTGTCGGAAATCTCGAAGTTCACGAGGATTTTATTAGCGAAGAAGAAGAGAATCGATTACTAAATGAAGTTGAGCCTTATTTAACAAGGCAGACATATCAGTACGATCACTGGGATGGAGTAAGTAAATAAATAATAAATAAAGTCTTTTATTTTGAGAGGGTAGCACGTAATAGTCTCTAGACTAATAAACTTGTGGCCCTCTATATATTCACWCATACWCACTACCTCAAMATTCATTRWTTTACTACACGACACTCCTCACAGCTAGTTTTTGACTGAGGGAGGAAAACCAGCGGACCTGGAGAAAAAYCCTCGGAGCAAGGAAGAGAACCAGCAAGTATTGTTCTAGTGCTCTAGTGAAGTGAAAGAAAAGAGTTTGTTTATAATTTGTATCTTCCGATAAAACTTATCTTTTTCTGCTGTTTTGATAGGCTATTCATGGTTATAGAGAAACAGAGAAGACTAGATGGACAACAGATAGTCTAAGGATATTTAAGAGGATAAAAGACACAAGCTTCACTGCTAAGACCAAACTCTTGCCCAGTGTTCATGTGTTAGATCTTGCCAAAAATGGGTAAGGTAGGATATGTATGTAATTTATGTATACCAATATCAAATGAGGTACAATTTGTTTCCTCTTCACTACTTGTTTTTGTTGGCGCAAAATGCTGACTAATAAACCTGTGAAAAAAATGGAACATCTGGGACCAGGGTAGCTAGACGACTTGTGCACAAGTAAAACAATTTTGATGAATCATTGCTAAATAATACTAGATAATTATTGGATTAATTTTTGTAGGTATATCAAGCCTCATATTGACAGTATAAAGGTATGAAATACTAAACTTTATGTCTCAGTACTTTGATATCATGATCATCTGGCGACCCTAGTGGGCAGGGGCACTCTTGATGACACGTCTCCGCACTTCTTGGTAGCCATGGCCACAGGGAGGTCCTCTCTCTACTTTGATATAAACACACTGATATGGATCTAACACATGTGAAGTGAGCCGTATTTTTAGATCCGTTAAATTAAATTCCAATGTTATCCATTGAAAATTGTTTAACCTCTGCAACTTTCAGTCCTACAATCAKTGCTCTGCACTGACCTCATAAAATAGCTATATTAATATATTCACATTATTGAAATAATATTTTTGGTTTTTGAAACAAAGGGCTGCAAACATGTATTTCTTAACCCAGATATAAAAAGTCATCTCAAGTATTATATAAACTCTTAATTATAATATGAACTCCTGGTACTAAGAGTAAGCAATTTGAGGACTCGATGTGGCTTTTAAAAAGTGGCAGCGTGACTGTGTAATGGTATATTCATGTTCATATCATTTTTTCATCATTACTTTAGTTTTGTGGTCCAATCATTGCTGGGTTAAGTCTATTATCACCAAGTGTCATGAGATTTATTCATGAAGAACACAACTCTGTCCTGGTTGATGCATTGCTCCCACGATTCTCTCTTTATATTATGAGGTAATATTGATGCTTAAATTCTACTATCTGTTGTCATTACAATAAAGGACAATTGTCAGTTCACAGACTATAGTGTTATCATAATGGTATTTTTTTTGTTGTTGTTAACAGAGGACCCATTCGGTTTTCATTCACTCATGAAATACTCGAAGGTAGGAAGTCAACTTGGAAAGGACAAGATGTTACTAGAGACAGAAGAATATCTGTCATTCTAAGAAGTCAGCCATAAAGACAATTACCGGTGTTACTTCCCCTACAATATTAATAAGCAAATTCCTGTGTAGAAGAGCATATTGTAGATGTCAATTTTTCAAGCCAATCTGAAAGATGCTCCAGTTCTCTGCATTAGATAAAGMACTACTGAAACTGTTAATTCCATGAAAGTAATATTTAGTGATATTTATTAAATATGGAGATGGTCTATAATGTTATAAAAATGGTACATGTACTTAAATCTTTACCATAGAGTACTGTACTAGAGTGGTTTTCATAAACCCGTGAAATACACTTTAGTTTAATACACTTTAGTACACCCTAATACCATTGTTTTCTTTTGTTGTCATCTGACTATTACACTTTAGCTTATAGTTTTTGTTTCACGGGTTTATGAAAACCACTCTATCCCTCATTTTTTTAAATAGTTGTATATATATATTATTTATATTATTGTTTATATTATGATATTATTTTGCCATAAAATGAAAACATAATTATAATATAATTTTTATAATTAAACATTGTTAACAATAGATAGACTAGAAAATAGAATTATTTCCAACAAGAAAGGTCATTCATCCTAATAGCTCCAATTGGCAACAAGCACAAATGTAACAGATGTACTAGTTTCTATGCAAGTTTATGAAAACATGTTTTCATAAACTTGCATAGAAACTAGTACATCTGTTACATTTGTGCTTGTTGCCAATTGGATGAAGTGAAATTAAAAGCATCCTTGATCATCAGTTTCTCTCGTTAAATTATGCTACAACATGGTGGCAATGGCTTTGTTGCTTATATATACTGTATTTTGGGATTTTTGGTTATGTAGTTTTTTTTTGCCCAATTTTGACAATTCTTATATGGATAAGTAAGTAACCTCTCAAAGTATGACATGTTGTTAACTGTCTTCAAATAGAGATTTTTCCATGACTATATTAGAGTTCTTTTAGTAAAAGCGTGAAAAAAAAACCTCATGAATTATTCATTAGACATTCTTCCAATGAGCATTCAACTATGGGTCACATGACAGAACCTATAACTCAAGTTACAAACACTGATAAATTAAACACGAGTCTTATAACTAACTGATTCAGTTAGATAACACTCATGCATAAAACATCAGTGTTGTAACTGATTTACAGACACTCGATGTGTGCCCAACACTAGAAAAGTTCTCAGTTTTAGACTCTCATGATAGAACTTCACCAGGTTTCCAATTTTAAGTAAGAGATAAATACCGAGAACGGAGGCAATAAGCCATATAAAGCACGAGGGGCCGTAGGCCCCGAGGGATTTATAGGCTTATTGCCGACGTTCGAGGTATTTATCTGACTTATTTCATACTTTGAAGAAGTTTTCCAAGCACTGCATTAATATTTTCATTTTTAAATAGGCAAAGAAGCCGTTTTCATATGAATTAAAAACCAAAACCTCGATTAGAAAGGTTACGATATTTACTGTATTGACAATTCCCAACGGTAATAATTTGCATAAGCATTTTTTTCGTTAGTCCCATGAGACCAATGCTAACAATATACCTTTTGTAACAAGTAACTGGACAATGTTAAATAACTGTTTTATTCCACAACTGACATCGATTAGTCAGTTAGCATAACGTGTTMAGTATAGGATTTTCAAAGCTGAGGTTGTGGGTTCGAATCTACTTGGTGTCATTTGAATTTTTCTTTCTTTCTTTCAAGTTTAAAGTTTCAGACGGAAAATTTCTAAGTTGAACGTAGTAGTTAATTAGGTATTCAAGGGCAATAAGTACATTAGTATTCAAGGGCAATATCTAGATATTGCCCTGAAACTTYGATATAAAGCACTTGAATACACAATGAGCTGTGGAATAAGYTAGATACAACACTATGAATAACAAAGAAAACTGAATCAAGTATGAAATAAATGTAGTTATTGGAGAGTCATGGTAGACTAAACCATAGTGGCACTTGAATGTGGGAAATCAAGTTGATTACTGCTCATGCTCAGATCTTCATCAATTATTCATTTTTGATATTTTTTGTTTATTTCATGTAAAACTAAAATATTGTAGTTTCTTAAAGGTTTGGGTTTTAGAAGTCATTTATAAAACGAGTAGTTCGTGTTTTATCATAGATTTTGAATATCACTTACWAAATTTTGCAAAAATAGTGATAGTTAAACAACAAAAGAATTTAGCATAAAATATCAATTATTTAAGGAATAAAAGACGAGATTCCGTGTTTGATACTCTGATCAAAACACGCGGGATGTAGGGAGAGCACGAGAGAAGCGTAGGAAACCACGACG